CCACTTTTTTTCAAGACAGGGTTTCTCCCATAGCCCTGGCTATCGAAAAGGCTGCTTCCCAGGTACTGGGATTAGAGGTGTGCCCCACCCCCGCCTAGCACAGGATTTCTCTTTTCAGGGCACCTAGTTGCGTTCATAGTGGCAGAGCAATAAGAATACTCTACAAGCATTATGAAGTGAAGATGCACCGTGTACAATCAGCACCTCAAAGGCAGGGAGTGAAGGAGTCCAGCACTCTTAGGATTTACACATGGAATAAACTTTGCATGTTCTTTCTTTATTGAAACACACTTAATTTAAAATAGTAATTCCTCTTCCAGGTGTGAGGGGTGCCTGGTTTGTTCTTTGCCTGGCATTGGCTTTGGCACTTGAGCAACTTTAGATCTGGAGTTGGCACAATTTTTTTTTCTTTCAAATAAAAGAGACAGGGGTAATGGTTTGGCAGCCCACATAGATCTCTGCCATGTATCCGTTGTTTCTTTAATGACCCTGAACATGTAAAATGCCCATGAGCTCTGCCTGTCTTGCAATGGATTGCACTTTGGTGAACCTGCCTGAAGTGACCCCCTCATGGTGCTCAGCCAGAGGTCTTGTTTTGTAATCTTATTCCCACGAAGCTGCTGGGACTTCCTTGTGGTGTGTTATTCACATCTTTCAGAATGACAGTTTCTGACATGAACATGCTTGTCACTCTCCAAGTCTATCATGTTTTCCCCACTCTTCAAAGCAGACCCAGGGTCAAACCCAGTCTCTGGAAGGGGCTGGGCAGGGAGGAGATACAAAAAGGCACAGTCCTGTGGGGACCATGAAGGGACTTAACAAGATTCAAGATCATATATGTTCAGTGGTAAATAAGCTATTTTCAGCTATTGTAAAAGAATAAAAACCACATTGTTCCCATTTGCTGAAGAATGCTACAGAGTGAGTGCATTTACATATAAGCATGTATTAACTTACATATACAAATTTGTGTGTGTATGTAGGTATTTCCTTGCCTATCTGAGACAAATGTGTAATGATTCTTGATTGAGGGTTGTTACTTTGGGGGATTAGGGAAGGAATAGAAAGTGAGAGAAGGAGAAACCTAGTTCCCATCCTCAAAAGCCCCTTTCATATTGCTCAACTCATTCTCTGCATAATGACATGTTGTTTGTGGTGATACATACATACGTCTTTAAGCTAAAAATAGCTGTATTCTTTAAGCTCCTGGTAGGAAGAAAGTTTTACAAGTACTAGCAAAATTGTGAGCAGAAAGCTGCTCACAATTCAGAAGCTTTTGTAGAATGGGTAACTCCTGTCCTCAGTCCAAGGAAAGAGCCTATGGACTGCTCCCAGGCAGGGGCATATTGAACAGTTACTGACACAAAGGACTTGGGGTGTTGAGAATGTATGGGGGGCAGCAGGCCTGGGTTGCAGTGGAATCCAGGGGACTTTGGTTTGAGGCCAGAGCATTACCCACACACTTCTGGTTTGGTCAAAGGAATGTCTATGAGATTAAAAACAAAATCTTGTATGGTGCTGTGAAGATTAAGTTAATATATCTGTGGAAATATCTACCTTAATACTATGTGCTTAAAATTTATTTTCTGGTTGAATTTTGATTTTGGTTTATATTTCTAAGCTGTTTAAGATTCAAGGGATGGATGACTGCTTTCTAGTACTCACTTTTATTTTTTTAAAAAAATAAAAGCAATATTGTTCATCCACATAGAGGGATACTCTCTAAGCCAAGACACCCGAGGGTGGGCCTAGGCCCTATCCATCCTCCCTGGGGAGCAGAAAGGATGTGTGATAGATAGGGTTTTAGTTGGGGGGGTAGGGGAGGAGGGGAGGGAGTGGGAACTGGGATTGACATGTAAAACAATCTTGTTTATAATTCAAATAAAAAAATGAAAAAAAACCATAATGTTCTCATTTGCTGAAGAATGCTCTACAGTGAGTGCATCTATCTATAAGCATGTAGTAACCTACATATACAAATTTTCTTCTCACTTTGACACTTGGTCACTGGTCTAAGCACCACACCAAAGAAGGATATGGAAATATGAAATGTCACAGCACCTCTGCTGCAGACCAATTTTATTATGAAAAGTAACTGTGTATGTAACAGGACTCAGATTAATTACAGCCTGGGAAATACATAAAATGGGTCTTGTATTGATCCTGATGTATTACATGCAACGGATGCTCTCCAGTCGAGTGACTCACATTACTCTTGTGACTTCTTCCACGTTTCAGAGGGGAGTCTTTGGACAACCTGGACTCCCAGCGGCCCAGTTCCTGGAGGCAGTCTCCATGGCACAGCCAGCCCGCAGGAGTCTATGCCTCGTCCTCTGTCCAAGACTTCAGTCGCCCGCCTCCTCAGCTGTTGTCTACATCAAACCGTGCCTACATGAGGAACCCATCCTCTGCCGTACCGCCTCCAGCTGGCCCTGTGAAGAGCATCAACCCAGGCCCTGCCCCAGGGTCTCCCACCCCACACAGCTATTCCTCTTCAATGTCACAGTCAGGCTCTCAGCTCCGTAACAGGTGAGGCCCCTTTTGCCCCCTTGTCTCAATTTCAAGTGTGTTTCTCCATTGAAGCCTTGCCCAAATTATCCAGCAAAGAAGAAGAGCAAGTCCTTTTGAGTGCATGAAATTTGGTGTTCTTGTATCAAAGCAAATAAGAAGGCTTTCTTCGGCCTCTGTCTGTTGCCTGCCTAGTGTCTACAGATGTCTGGGAAAGGCACTCCAGACTTTCAACATGTCTGCATGTCACCAGGCTCTCTGTTGCCTGTGCTTTTGGTCAGTGTCTCAGCTGGAAGATTTCTCTGAATAGATAACCAGGTGGCATCAACAAATGATACAGGGACTTACGAATGCTTTCATATTTACGAGTAGGAGCAGTGCTATGCAGTGTCTGACTTTGAATGGCACTCTAATAGAAACTCGTTGGGATGGAGTGTGAACAAAAGCATGATGAGTAGGCTTCATAGCCCAGGCAGTTTGAATGAGCTGGATTAAAAAAAAAAAAAATCTTCCTGTAGGTTTGATCTTGCTTTCGGAGTCTTGGGTTGCTTCACCTGTGACCCAGTCTGCCCCCAGTTGTTCAGTCTTCATCACTTGACTTTGGCAGTTCTTATGTTCTGGGGAGGGTGTAAAAGTTAGGTAGAATCTTGAATGGTCCCTTGTCCTGGGTCATGGGGTGAAGCCCTGATGTCCATGTGGGTTGTATTTTCATATCTTCACAGCTTCTCCATGAGTCAGTCCTCTGTTGTCATCTCAAAGGAGTTCTAGTTTGCATTACAAATGTAATGATGAAAGGTAGAAATCCACTGACATTTGAGTATTTTAAGCTATTAATTGACTTATGTAAGTGTGTGTAAATATACATACATATATGTATGTATATATCAACTCAAAATGATGTTACAATTACCAAGATCTACAAAATATGTAAGGGAGTTGAGGTAAAGGAACAGGGGTCAGGAGGCCTTAGGGTCAGTTTTTTTTGGGTAGATGGAATTTGCAGAGGAGAGGAACCACCACTCATTTATTCTCCCACTGCAGCCCTGTATGTGATAATAAGGCAGGGGGGAGAGCTCAGAACAGGTCATGGGCCTCTCTGCCCAGGGAAGGACTTTGCCCAAAGATGGATTGCTGTCTTCACACATGAATAGCCATGCACTCCCTGCACACCCCGTGGCCTGGTGTTGTTGCACTCCTTCTGCTGGGGTGAGAAAGTAAAGATGAAGTCAGTGTCTCCTTAGCACTAGCAGAGACCAGCCCTAGATCTAAAAGTAAAGTGGGAATCCCCATTGCTGACTCATCGGCAGCTATTGGGCCCTGATGACTTCATTCTCAACAGAAGTGCAGTCACAAAAGTGCTCCTCTTTCCAGTCAGAAAATTGAAAAAGAAGGGGTAGAAAGTAAGGTGAGAAGGCAAATCAAAGAGACTCTGGAGTGGACCTGGGAGTGGAATGCCATGAGTGGAATTTTGTATATCAGTCAACTGAATTAGCAAGAAGATGTCGCAGATCAGAGATACCGATTAAGTCCATATGTGGTCTCAGGAATGGATTCAAAGTCCCAAGTGGACCAATTGCATTGAAATTGTTCCTTTAGGTGAACAGGCATCAAGGTCCCCAGAGCCTCCATTGAGACAGTTCAAGGTGTATAATGAAGTCATGCTTTATTTAGCTGGCTGCAAAAGTTTCTCTCCCATGGATGTAAAGAGCCTTTCTTCAGTTGTTATCATTTCTACCAATGACAGTGTGACTTTGAATGCCAGCCTTGCACAGCATAGGTGAAAGCCTCCACTGCATTCTTGTTCCACATCTAGGTCAGTGAGTGGGAAGCGTGTGTGTTCCTACTGTAATAACATTCTGGGCAAAGGAGCTGCTATGATCATCGAGACCCTGGGTCTTTGTTATCATTTACAATGTTTTAAGGTGAGCCTGAGACAAAGAGCTTGCCGGCCGGCTGCAATGCTTTGCTTGGAGAGCGCATGGCTTCTGTGAGCCCTGGGTTGTGGATATGCCACTAACAAGCTTGGCCTGTTGTTTGTCAGTCTGTGCTGCTCGTGGGAGTCCTAAATTGCTTGCTGCTACTTGGTTCTCAAACCTGGAATCTTCTTATAAAAGTCAGTCTGCCAGCCCTATACTTTTTGTAGCCCTAATCTTCTAGGATCCTATAAATAAAATTTATGGTGCCAAGTGTGTTCTCTAGTATGTTGCCACAGGTAGACTTAAATTTTAATTTACCAGTGTTATTAGCAGCATAGAGACATGCAGTTATCAGTGTCTAATGGATAGCTTTTAATAGTGTCGGGAAGGAAAACCACTATAAATAGTTTTACAATTTCACAGCCTGCTTATACCTGATAGTGTTTTTGTATACAGGGAAGGGTTCAGGCTGTAACTCTTGATTTTACAGTATCTGCCTCTGAATGCATCATTTTAATTCTTGAGCTCTCATTGGGACAGTAGAAGGTCTCCCCATTTTTGATCCAGGAGTTCTAAAGTTAGCAGCTCGCTTAAGCATATACATACATTTGTACATGTAAATCCATGTAGAGCAGAATGAGTCAAAATAGTGTTTGAACACACACACACACACACACACACAGAGAGAGAGAGAGAGAGAGAGAGAGAGAGCACTAAAGTCCCTAGCCTTGACTTAAGGCACCCTATGAATGCTTGCTCATCTAGAGCTCTGGGGACACTGGGAGTGGGCCCATTCTAGACTATACTTCCAGAAACCAAATTCTATTTTTCTTCTGTTCTTACATGTGGTGAGTTTGCCTTTATTTCCTTGGGGCAATGAAGACTAAATTTCTCTAATCTAATCAGCAAATTGTTTTTATATTTCTCCACCCCCAGTATAGAGTGATTGCCTTGGTTCTTAAATTTTGCTTTATGAATTCTTAGTGTCTAACCCTGCAGGCTGATTTTAATCCACTAATTGTCCTTTGGCCTTCCCGCCCCTTTGCTCCGTTGTGATATACCCAGGGTTTAGAAGCTGCACCCTAGAACCCGCTCACCCCACTCTGTATGTCCTTCATCCCGTGCATCTCTCTTCTGGGAGTGCTCCAGGGTTTCTGGCACTCCCTCATGGTGCCTTTTCTTTTGTTCATCAGTGTGTCTCCTGTGAATGTGACCTCGGAGGCTCTTCCTCAGGAGCAGAAGTCAGAATCCGAAACAACCAACTGTACTGCAATGACTGCTATCTCCGATTCAAATGTAAGAGAGCAAATTAGAGAGAAAATTTCTTGTCTTTTGAGGAGACCACGGGTTCCTCTGCCTTTCCCTGAGCCTGAAGCCACCTCCTCCTCAGCTTCACTACCATAGAATCCTGGGTTTCAGGGGTCATAGTCTGTCCCCTTCAAAGAGGCTATGTAAGGTGTCCCAGCCACCTAGGAGTGGGTTGTGGGGTGGAGGTACTGAAGGGGCTTGTACCCAGAAATCAGGACATTGACCCTCATTTGCAAAGATCGGGAGAAACTTCTAATGACTCCTGGGCACAGAACAAGTCTGCTTTCTGATTAAGGCTCCATCTCTCATCATCTCATTTCCGTTAGCTAATGATGAGATCTTATTTTGTGACTTACAACGTAACCAACTCTGAAAACGATTGAATCTAAGATGTCACTTTCTGCTTTATGTTAATATGTAGCCATGTATCCATCCACACATAACATTTGAAAAAGAGAGCCTTGATTCTGTTTATGTAGTGTTTCAGTGTCATTTAATTAAAAGAACATTTTTAAATGGTACTTTTTCTCTAAGCATGTGTTTGAGCACCGTGAAGTATAGGTAGCCTCGGTTGTGTGTGCTTTATAACCTCAGCAAGACAACAGTTAATTGCTGTATATCATTTTGAATCTTGACGATGGTAACATGTTTCTTCCTTGTTGCGAAAGGGTTTTACAAGTGGTATCTACAAACCTATTGCTTTTGAACTCAGAGGTATTTATATGGCCCCTTATATGAAGCGTGCTTGGAAGTGATTTGAACTGGTCAACTCTCTCTTATCTGTCAATGGCTTCTGAGCCTTCTCCATGACAAGGCCGCCCTTGGATATTGACCCTGAAGTTGGGAGAACATCAAGGCTGGGCATGGGGTCTTGGGGGGAGTGTGTATGTGTGTGCACTTTTCTCTTTTGAATCCAGGCCAAATATAATTGATTTTTGAAATCATTGCCCATGCCTTTTCTCTCCTTCAGTACAAATAATAGAGAGTTGAAGGCTTTTTTTTTCCCTTTCTGATTCAAGCAGTTAATTTTGACCCTGTTTTACAAATAAAGAATTGTAGACCCCAGGCTGGACTTGCCTACCTGTATCCTAAGACGGAGTGACAGGCAACTCTCTCTACCTCACTGGGCCACTCTGAGTGATGACTGCTATGCGTCCCCATGAGCTGACATTCACATGCTTTGGAATCTGAGCACTTTTCTCTCTTCTCTCCTCGCCTGATCAGCTGGACGGCCAACCGCCATGTGAAGTAAGGCTCCATTCGAACGCCCTGTTGCAGATAGAAGAGGAGGCGGTGGCTGCCGATGCAGAACTATAAATACGCCCCCTCCCCCGCCCCTTTTTTAGAAAAAGAATAACCTTTGCCTCATTAGGTGACATAGGAACACTGTAGTTTTGGGAGGACCTGTATTTTTGTTGTTTATTTATAAGAAGGTAATTATGTGTGTTGGGGGAAGTACAGTATTTGCCTTTTGAATTCAGCATCCTAAAAGCACAAGTGGGAAAAAACCCCCAAGAACTTAAAAAAAAATACTTTTGAGGCCGATGGTGATCTAGTGTGACTCTTTAGTGGTGTTTTGAAAAGGGTATTTTGTTTTATTTTTTTTTAAGTTCTTGCACATTATTTGAAATAGTTAATATAAATATGTAATTGTGTTTACTGTTTATTGTATTCTAAGTTAATGTGGAACCATATGAATAATTTCATTTAAATCCACCCATAAATTTGCTTTTTGTGGCTTTCTTTACACAGAAATAATCCAATTGAAAAATAATTTTGCTTATGTATTATTTTATTTGCTTGAGGAGGGCATTCTATTTTCTTTACAAGGACTGTTGTTGCTAAGCAAATATCAGTAGAAAGCTGCTTATTTTCAGTAATGAAAAATAACCATGGTTTGTATACCAGGAATTTTCTCCAGAAACTAGAAAGCTTTTCTGTTCCAATGTCTTTGTAAATAAAATTGGTGATACATTTAAGGAGTGGTTCTTTTTTTTAAAAAAAAAATGTATTGAATTATTAATTTGCTCATTTAATGAATTTGTGTCTTTTGCAGTCCTTTTTTTTTAAAGTTAAAAATATGTGGTGCGTGTGTGTGTGTGTGTGTGTGTGTGTGTGTGTGTGTGTGTGTGTGTGTGTGTCACAGGCATGGGGTATCTGTGGAGGTCGGAGGAGAGGGTGGTGAGGTAATGTGAGAGATCTAGCATGGGCCCTGGCGACTGAATTCAGGTCCTGAAAGAGCAACAAGTGCTTTTACCTTCTGTCGGTGCTTCAGTTATCCCTGCAAGCCTTTTAAGTATATTTCAATATGTTACCTTCTTGCTATTATATTTTACTAAGGTACAATCAACAATCATAAAGGGCATGTGTTTGTATTTAGTGTGTATGGCTTGACAAATTCTGGTATGTGAATTTCTGCTAAACCATTGCCACAACCATGACAGTTCTTCAGAGAAAGTTTAGTTTTAATCATAAACTTTACTTCAGATAATGTTACAATTTTGAACACTTTAGGGTAATGTAAGTCCCAAACTGTTGGATTAGTTTTTAAAAATCTATTGTTTTGTCCTCTAGGGCGTTTGAAAAATATCTTAGAGCAAAAGTAGTACTTTTTTTTTTTAAAGTAGTACTTTTAAAAAGAAATCTGGGTCAAAAATAAGTGATATAAAACTTTAATGTGCTTTGTGTAAAAACATACGGACACTTGGATTTTTGTAACAAGGTAAATAGAATGAGAGCTATATTTGAAGAGGCTTAAAATACATCCTTAAATGTTAATTTTGGAGAAAAATAAAAATTAGTTCCAGGGTTTTTTGTTGCTGAACAATTATTTTTATTTCCATTTATTAAAGTAATATGTATGTAGGAAAATTTGCCAATTGCCCCATGGCATTTAGAATGTAGCTTGCAGCGCAAACCCCATCGAAAAACAGCAGTCCTTGAACTCACTTCTGCACACAGACATTTATTGTGCATTCTGAGGTAACACTGTGTACTTCCCATGTTCTTAAAATCATTTCTCCTCTCCTTTACCTCATGCCTGCTACTCAAGCATCCTACACTAAAGGACACCCCTCTAGGCCTCTGTTTCATTTTCTTTTTCTTTTTTAATTGGTGCTTATTTATTATACATAGCTGTTATCAGAATTTCTTTTCCTCCTGGTCCCGAAGCTGATTAGCCCCAAATAAACACACAGAGACATATTAATTATTAAACTGTTTGACTGATGGCTCAGGTTTCTTATTGGCTAGCTCTCTCTTAATTATTAACCCATTTCTATTAATCTAAGTCTTTCCATGTGCTCTTGTCTTACTGGAGAAGGGTCTGGACCCGTTACTCCATCCTTTGCTACCTGGTGTCTGCTTGCAGCCTCCCTCTGCATCCTCTTCACAGCCTTCTCCTTGTCTAGTAGCCTGCTTATATTTCCTGCCTGGCTACTGGCCAATAAATGTTTTATTCATCAACCAATAGAGAAACTTATATACAGCAGAACGTCCCCATCACATAGCCATGGGTTCCATGAAGATGTTTTTATTTGGGTGCAGCACATAGTTTGTGTTTATTCTCCAATATCCCCTCCTTTCCCCAAACAATAGACCCTCTGCTTCCATGTCATATCTAAAAATGACTTTGTATATAAAATGTGGTACCCACAAATGAGAGAAAACACGTGATGTTTGTCTTGAGTTATTTTACTTTAATATAAATGGGTTCCATTTATAGCTGTCTTGTTTTACGTGTGTGTGTGTGTGTGTGTGTGTGTGTGTGTGTGTGTGAGCGAGAGAGGGAGAGAGGGAGAGTGAGAGGGGGAAAGGGGGAGAGAGAGAGAGTCAGAGGACAACTTGCAGGAGCTGGATCTCTCCTTCATCCATATAGGCTCTAGGAATCAAACTCAGATCATCAGATTTTGGCAGCAAGCATGTTTACTATCTAAGTTTTCAACTGACTCCTTGACCCTTGTGTTCATTTTCTTAAATTATTTTTCTTTATAGCCAAATAAAACTGCATTGTGTATGTCTACCACATTTTCTTTGTTCATTCAGTGGTTGGTGGACACCTGGGCTGATTTTGTAACAACCATGTTGAATACAGTTAGAATAAGCATCGATGTGCAACTATCTTCTCAGAAGGCCTTTTGGGCATAAACTCAGGGAGTGGAATAGTTGAGTCCTATGGTAGTTCTGTTTTTAGTTATCTGAGGAACCTCCATAATGATTTCCATAGTGGATGACTAATTTACTCCCCCGTTGACAGGACAGAAGTACATGGTGCTTTTCTTTTACCCACATTCTCAATTACATTCAGCTACATGACTGACTTGCAGAGGTAGGATGTCTTTGTCTTTGTGTGGGCTAACCTGAGAAGACTGTGTAGTCTGTGGACAAGTGACTCCCAAAGATAAGGTTGCAGAATCATGAAGAATCCTGAAGAGCATGTGCGAGTAACGTTTTCTAACATTCAGTCTATTCTAAAGAAACTAGGACTTACTATGCCCTCCCTCTGAGGGCAGAAGTGGGCAAGAAGAGTTAGAGAGGGGTCCATTTCTTGGTCCCATATTACTAAGAAGGGGTTTTCAGTTGGGAGAGTGCATGAACACAGTGAGTTGTAAAATAAGCTTTTACTCTCTATATATACATTAAAACTTGAACCTTCTTGGTACTAAATTAAGGGGGCAAAGTAACATGAAAACTATTTTTTATTTTTAAGAATTTAAAGAAAATTAGTATTTTGCTGGAAATATTCCTCAATAATGGAGTGAAATCTAATCCCCAGTGGGGGTGGCAGCATCATAACTACCTCTTAATAGTTACCACTGAGAGGTATGTCTAATAGGACGTGTTGTTGTTGGGATTTTATTTTAGTTTTAATAGCACTTTTACATCTTGCCTTGCAATCTGGAAGAGGGATTAAAAGGCATGCTCACACCAATCCAAGTTCCTGCCAGGAAGTATAGGCTTAAAAACTAATTTATGCACAAATGAATGTGTAGAGACAAGAAAGGAACTTTCTGATTTTTTTTTAAAGACATAAAGGAGCAGGAAGGTTGTGTAGAGGGAAGAATGGAGGAGAGCAAAATAAGAGATACAACCAGAGAGAGAGCTATTATAGGTTTAAAGAGAAATCAGGCACTAGAGAAATGTACAAAGATGTACAAGGATGACACCAACTAACCATCTAAGCAACAGTGGAGAGGCTACCTTAAATGCCCTCCCCTGATAATGAGATTGATGACTAATTTATATGCCATCCTAGAGCCTTCATGCAGCAGCTGATGGAAATAGAAGCAGACAGCCACAGCTAAACACTGATCTGAACTGGAATCCAATTGCAGAGAAGGAGAAGTGATGAGCAAAACGGTCAAGACCAGGCTGGTGAAACCCACAGAAACAGCTGACCTGAACAAGGGGGAGCTCTTGGCCCCCAGACTCATCACTGGGAAACCAGCATGGAACTGATCCAGACCCCATGAATGTGGGTGTCAATGAGGAGGCCTTGGAAATCTATGGGGGCCTCTTGCTTGTAGTATATCAGTACTTACCCCTAACCTAGGAATGAACTTTGGGAGCCCATTTCACATAGAGGGATACTCCCTCAGCCTAGATACATGGAGGAGGGCCTAGCCCCTATCCCAAAGGATATGACAGACTCTGAAGACCACCCCATGGAAGACCTCACTCTCTCTGGGGAGCAGAAATGGTATGGGATAGGTAGGGTGTTAGTGGGGGGCAGGGGAGAAGGGGAGGGAGAGGGAGCTGGGAATGACATGTAAAATAACCTTGTTTCTAATTTAAATTAAAAAAATTGAGAGAAAAAAATATAACATAAAAAAAAGAACTGGTGAGTTTTGAAGTATACATGTACATTTAATTTGAGTCTGTGGTAAAGGAGACCTGGGCTTTGAAAGGGGCACAGTATGTGAGATGTTGAGGGCTGTTGTCACTAAAGGAGTAGACATGTCTTTGTGGCAGAGTTGTTGCTTGACATTGTTCAGAGCAGGTATGGTTTCTTGGTCCCATATTACTAAGAAGGTGTTTTCATTTGGGGATGTAAACGAATATAATGAATTATAAAAGGAGTTTTCACTCTATACATATATTAAATAGACAGATAGAAGGACAGAGATCTGTCTGCCTCCTCAGAGAGATGGCGGAAAGAGAGAGCAGGTACGATTTTAACAGAGCAAATGCTTGGAAAAAAATAATACATTTCTGAGTTGAGTCCACCTCCCATGGATTTCTCTCTCTTGTATCTTCACCAAATGATTACATACATAGTTTGGCCTGTTCTGCAGAGGAATGTACCCATTGGTAGCTCTGAACTATGTGACAATGTATTGGGAAGTGGTGACTATTTGACATGGAACTAAGAGAGAGGAGGAGCAATCTCCAGTATTCTCCAGGACAGTAGGGTACTGTAGTTTAAAACAATTGTAATCCCTATTTCACAGAGAACAGAAAAGAGGAGTTTGAGAGAACCCAACACAAAGAAGTGATGTTTCAAGCAGATAATTATTACAGTGATTGGTCAGTATGCATTGTATATATGTATTTAGTTATACCTGTATCCCATAAATCTGTTTAATTATCATATGCTTACTAAAATACTTTGAGAAATATTGTCTTATGGTTCTACGAATACCAGCCTAAAATGTCATGGGGCAGCATGATTTCCAGAAGCTCTTTCCAGGGAGGGGAACAACTCAACTACCTTGTCCTCATTTTAAGCTTTTTGTCAAATGGCATCGCAGAGGCTTTTTGGTGACCAGTTGTGGTCATTCTCAGAGGCAGCTTTGTGACTTTAGAGTAGTTTCCAGCCTGTAATGATTCTGTATTCTTGTTCTTATTTACTAATTCTTTGTGGACCTTGGAACAATGCAAGTTTTATGGGGGCATGGGGTTGTCTGGTTTTAATTGTACCAACAATATTTAGAATAATGATAGAGTCAAGGCAGGTGGATTTGTGAATTCAAGTCCATCC